TGTCACCAGAGGGGAGGGCCTGAGGGACTGAAGGATGCTCCCAGGGGACACCCTTGTTGCTTCAAGCCCAGTGGAATGCTCAGAGCACAGATCCAGCCAAAACTGGCGTCTATGCAACTGGCCACCACATGTTCCCTGGGGCATTCCCAGGGTGAGCCCTAGACCTGCAAGATCATATCCACACCTCACCAACGTGAGGCAGGAAATGATGCACAAGGGAGACTTGCCACTGATTGGCGATTGAACGAAAAACACATGAGGCATAGAATTGTAAGAAAACGCTAGACAAGATGGTAGGAGTTCACCACTGTAATTCCACTGCGTATTGTTACCTTCAAATCAGTTGCTCAGACCACCAGACACAAGCATTCAGAACATAAAACATTGTAATCAGTAACTGTTCATTTCAATACACCATCAGACATCAGCAATACAGTTATCACAGCTATTCATATATATATATATATTTATATTTTGTGTTCCTTCTTTTTTTCTTATTTCCCTCATCCCAGTTGTTCCTTCCTTTGAGCAATTTCTTTCCCTTTCCTGTCATCTATTGTACGTTTTGTTATTTTCTTATTCCCTATAATGGTTTGAGCAATCTTTCCTTCTTACATCTGGTAATCTGAGCAATGTAGTTGAGGATAGCAATATGGAATGTAACAAGCACTGTTGATTCATATTATTTTGTCTTGAGACTCTTTATCACTTTGAATGTTCTTGCTTTGATTTGTTTATGTCTGTGATACTGGTATGCTGCTACTGTTCTATTTCTTTGTTTCTCATTTACTACTCTCTTTAAAATAAAATAAAAAGAAAACAGTAAGGGTGGGGTGCAGCCCGGTGGGGTGGCAGAGCGCTGGTCTAGCATGCACGAGGCCCTGTGTTCCATCCTCAGGATTGCAAAAGACAAAACCAAACAACCTGTAGAAAAGAAGTCAGGGCCGGGTGTGGTGGCGCATACCTGTAATCCCAGCACTTGGGAGGCTGAAGCAGGAGGATCACTGAGAGTTTGAGGACAGACTGGGTTACATAGTGAGTTTGAGGCCAGCCTGGACTATGTGGCAAGACCCTGTCTTTAAAAAAATGAAAGAAAGAAAAGAAAAGGCAGAAGGCATGCAGGATGCTCTCCAGACGAGAGATTTGTACAGTAAAATTGGGGCCTTGAGAACACAGGAACCCAGAGTAGACCTAGCAGAGCCAGGAAGCCAGAAGTACAGCTCGGAACTCCCCGCTCTGCGAAGCACGCTGGCCGTCCCCTCGTGCGCGAGTCCCCAGGATTTATACCCTGGGCCTCTGCCACCCTGGCCATGAAAACCAGTGCCCACGGAAGCCTGGACCGTGCTCACCGGGAACACCAACAGAGTGGGAGAAAGGTGACCTCGGGCACCTGCAGGAGACAGCAAAGTGGGCAGCAAGCAGAGTGCGGGAGCTGTTGGGGAGGAAATGCAGAACCACATCCACACGGGCCACGACCGGGGCCCCGTAACAAGAGAAAAGCACACGGCTTTACTTCACATAAGTTCGTGTGACCAGGAGCCTTGGGAAACAAAGGCCCAAAGAAGAGAAAACTGTTTTATGTATTATGGACAGCCGTGCAGAAGTGGGACTGGAGGACAAAGCTGTGATCCGGTGGTGATAACTAGGGTGCTCAGCAGGGCCTATTGACCCAGATCCTCCCTGGTTCTGTATGACCTTCCCTCCCTTGGGTTAGGGGAGGCTTGGGGAATGGGCACCTTATGACCTACTGTCTTGGTTACTTTTCTCTAGCTGGAACAAAATACCTGATGTGTAAAATTAGGGAAGGAAAGGTTTATTTTGCTTACAGTTTGTGGAGGTTTCAGTCCATACTTGGCAGGTTACAAGGCAGAGTGGCACATGGCAGAGGGCTATAGCTCATAGCGGCAGAACACAGCAAAAGTAACAAGCACCAAAAGAGAGGAATGGCCGCAAGCAGCCTCTTCTTCGCCCTTACATATGCAAACTATCCACCTCAGGGCGGGTGTAGCTCTCACACCCATAATCAATCAAACTCTAAAAGCCTGCCCCATGGCTGCACGAGGTTTTGGGGGGACACCCAGACACAAACTATAACACCTACTTCATGGGAGGTCGGAGGGTTCTTCTTGGGCCACTCCAGGGGCAAAGGCAAGAGCAACTCTCTGGCTTCTGTTTTTACCAGTGCCAACATGCCTATTTGGGGGGAGCTGGTCCTGAACCCCATCAAAGCCAAGCACAGTGGCAGGAAGGAGAGGAGCAAATGTGAGCCTGGAAGAAGCGACCTCAGGAAGGACATCAATCAGGTGGGGGATGGAGAGGCCCTCAGCACACGCCCCCCCCCCAGCCATGCCTGAAGAACCTTTTGCTTTTTATGATCAAATAAAGACTGAGCCCTCCCCAGGCCCTGGAACCAGACAGTCTATGCTACCTCCTGGGGCCTCACTCCTGCTCCTGTACACAAAGGATCTCTCGGAGCCACGCGCTTTAAACCCAGTCTTGGGGAACCCTGACTGTCCACCAATAAGTTTCTTTTCCTTCTTTTTTTTTTTTGAGCCAGGTCTCAATATGTAGCCCAGGCTACCCTCAAATTCACAGCAATCTTCTTGCCTCAACCTCCCGAATGCTGGGATTACAGGTGCACCACCATGCCCAGCACCCCCACTGGTGTCTGTACACCAGAGAAGGATTACAGAGAGAGAGAGAAAAGAAGGAAGAACAGAAGGAAGAGGAGGAGGAAAGAGAAAAGGAAAGAAGAAAAGAGAAAAGAAACTGAATGTCAAAGTGGTAAGGACCTTGGTAGGACTAACTAGATCCCAACCCTTGATCTGGGACTTAGACACTTGTCTCTGGTCTCCAGCTGAAATGTGCTCACAAATAAAGCTGGCAAGGGGCTGCTGAGTTACCACATAGGTCCACCAGCCTGCAGAGGGTCACCTGCAACCTGTGCACCCATGGACAGCTCCTCACCAAAGGCCAGCAGGTATCAGCATCACACAGAGCCGCCCAAGAGGCTGGTCACAGCTGCCATGGGCAGGCAAGCCACATGGAGCTGATACTCTTCAGCTCTTTCCTGGTACTCTTCAGCTCTTCCCTGCCTAGAAGAGGCCCAAGGTGGATTCCCATCTGCAGGGAGATGAATTGTTGGAAGGGCTCTGGAGAAGGAGAGTGGCTACAGGCAGCACACAGGTGATGCACAGAGGCCCTTGGGGTGTCCCAGGGCATCTCAGCAGGAGACCAGTTTCAGCCTGACCCCACGGGGAAGCCCTGAGCAGAAGCTGCACGACAGAGCTCCTGCCACGCCAGCTCCAGGTCAGCTGTCATTCACCAGCGATGCTGGCATAGGCTAGGCAGCTGTGACCGCTAGCAGCCAACACTCAGGACAGCTGGAAAAGGGAGGGGGCACCAGGAACATCCACTGCAGCACCCTCTCATGTGGGCATGACAGGGTCAGGACAGGGAGGCTCAGAGACGTCAAAGGAGGCATAGGAGGTGGAGACAGGAAGTGGGGAAAGGTGCAGCAGCACCAGGCTCTGCTCTTCCTGAGCACCCTCTATTTCGTCTAGGCCAGACCCTTTTCTTTGCCTTGCCTTCCTGGACCAGGTTCTGCACCCCTAGAAAATTCCCAAAAAACAGGCAAGGGGTGCTGTTGATGTGGGGTGATGATTGTAGCTATCTTCTGGATCCCCTTGGAAGCCAGTGGCCTCCCGGTCTCTACACCCCACACACTCATCCAGGGGAAGAAACCCATTTCCTCCACCCCCCTCCAGACGGCAGGGCCACCAGATTTCCTGGACCAAAGCCCTCCACAGAGAGGTGGAAGCTTCATTTCGGCCAATGACAGCCAGGCCTGTAGCTGTCTCAGGAGCACCAGGGGAAGGAATGGAGCCAGGCGGGCAGAGCCCCACTGCTTCTGTCTGCCGGAGGAGTGACCAGAAGCGGGGCCAGAGGGACTGAGGTCCTTGTCACCTTCTAGCCATGCCCTTCTCAGTCAAAAGAGCCCTTTGTGGCTTCAGCCAGCCTGAGTCAAACACAAGGGCCCCACCTGACTCACATCCTCTGCCCCAGTGAAGCCGGGTTTCAATGTCACAGCACTGTCCTCTACTACCGAGCCACTCAGGGTCCTCCTTGGGCAACGGGGGCAATGGCTGCAGCTGAAAACCCAAGCCCGAGAGCACAGTGACAGATCAAGGGGCTGGGTGACCCTGGCCATGACCAGGCCAAACCTCCCCCTTAACAACTGAGTCTCAAGACCACCTGGAGGCAGGTGAGCCTGGCACAAGGTCACTGTCCGGCACTTCAGCTGCAGGAGACCTGGCTGAGGCAGGCGGCCTGCTGCAGTCCCCTCTCAGGCAGGAGGAGGGCAGCGTGCTTTGCACCTGCATGTTTACAAGGAGACGTCTAGGCAGTTGCAGGGAGCCTGTGTTCATTCGCTGTGTTGGTTTTTGATAGATGTTTACTATTTTCACTGACTTCCAAGTCACCTTGAACCTCACTTCTCCTGAAGAGACGGGGGCTGAGATCAAGGCCATCACTCTGCTCCCAGCCAAGCCATCAGCGACCACTCCTCACACCAGCTGTCGTCGAGAGAATATTTACTCCACTCGGTAGCAGATGTCAGTGACCTCCAGAAAGAGCCCACCTGGACAACCATTCACATGCACTCCTGCACAGCCGTGGGTGGGGTCCTTCCTCCTTCCACTGCCCCCAGGCAGGGGACAGTCTGAGGCCTCCTGTGCCCAGGATTGACCCAGAGGAGCCAGCCCACCCGTGGCCCAATGAAATGCACACCCTGGTAAACTCCGACACCCTCTCCCCTTGCGGGCCTCAGTCCCCACAGCCTGCCCCCTTCAGCCAGTTGCCAAGTTTCCTGAGTGACAAGCCCAGCCCTGCACTAGACCCACGTGGGGTTCAAGAAGAGACGGCACAGTCCCTTGCCCTCGGGGAACTCACAGTCTGCTTGGGGACTCAAGACACACACAGAGACACAGAGGAAACCGGAAGATGAGACAGCACGTTGTACTTGAAAGTGACACAGTGTGTTAGCACAGGTACTGTTCAGAGAAGGAAGAGGGTGGTCAGGTGCTGGGGAAGCTCAGCCCTGGTGGATATGGAGGGCTTCGAGGGAGGGCGGGGAAGGGGGACATTTCTGCAACAAAGGGAAAGCACAGCACAGCTGTGGCAGGAGGAGGCAAGCTGGACAATCAGCAACAGGGGTGCGTAGCTGAGGCTTCTTTGAGATTGGCCCAGGATGGCAGCCGAATGGATGCTCCCAGGCCACGGAGCTCCTCTGAACGCCCAGGTCATCTGCAGTCCCAGGATGAGACACACAGAAGGTGCTCAGTAAGAAGCAGGAGCCAGGTCCACAGGAGAAGCGGCAAGGCCCCAGGGCAGGAAGCCACAGGTTTCCCTTGCGTCCCTGCAGGCACCACCTTTTCTGATGAGGGGGCTCCCTCTTGGGAGACAGGGGCGCAGGTAGGCTCCCACCTGACCTGCTCAAGTGTGGAGCTGACTCCACACCCTGCAGCTGGCCCGGGACCTGCTCCCTTCCACTTGTGTCCTGTCCCCTCAGGGGACACGGAGCTCCCCCACTGGGTTCTCACACTGCCCAGAGCCACAGCACACAGAGCTCACATCCTCCCAGCAGTGTCTGCCTGGAGCTGCACAGCTATGAGCAGGCGGCATTGCTGTCTGGGTGTGTTTGAGGGGAGCAGGATCCCTTCCCTGGGGTGGTCGCAGCCTGAACCCCCGCCTTCCGGGCAGGCTGGCTTCCCCAAGACCTCACGATGAAATCAGAGCCTGGGCCGAGCAAAGGGCTCCACCTCGCAAACCAACAGGCTGTTAGGCAGAACCTGGGACACAAACCAGCCCAGGGAACCTCGGACAGTGTCGGGACAGGAAATCAAGTTCTAGAAGCCCGGTGTTCTGTGAGGTCTGGGAGAAGGGAGTGACTAAAAAGGTTTCCACCTCTGGATTCTTTATTCCCCAAGGGAAGGAGGCGGGGGCAGGGGTGGTATTTGTAGGGTGGCCTTGCCTGAGGGGCTCAGTGAGGAAAGGGTGGCGGGTGAAGACCCCTGGTGGAGGTTCTTAGTCTGGAGTCCAAGGGCTCCTGAAATCACTCCCAGTTTTTGAGCGCACATGAGTGAGTGTTTGTTCTCCTGGGGACAAGGTCCATAACCTTCAGCAGATTTTTCCAACGGCTGAATGACCCCAAGGTATTAAAGACCTTTCCAGCTCAGAAAGGAAAGCAAAGCCTGCAGGTATGGCTCGCTTCTGATGGGAGGGTTTGCCTCTAGAGCCAAATCTGACACCAGCTTGCTGCGTTGGCTTCGGACAGTCACTTCCTGTCTCTGAACATTAGCCAAGGGTGGACCAGGCAGGGGCAGAGAAGCCAGCTCTCCACTCAGGTGCCGTCCCCACTGTGGCCACACAAGACTTGGGGTCTGTGGCCAGGCACGTGGAGGAGCCTTGCCCAGCTGTGACTCCCACTGGGCCTGGGGCGTTTTCCCATCAGGGCTTGGAATTGGGAATCAGCCTCTAATTCCAGGCTCCATCAGGGAACCTCTGCAGGTCCCTGAAGGGCACCTCCCGAGGTAGGTCTTCTTAGGGCGTGTGTCCGCGTGCCAGGGCATGGTGCCAGCCAGGCCCCTGTGAGGCTCGATTCCTAGTCTCTGTGCCCAGATGTGCCCTGCACTTCCCGGGCAGGAGGTTGTGCCCGCTTCGAATCTGTTCACAGAAACAAAGAGATCAAGGTCAGGTCTGTGCTGTGCCGGGCCCTGCTCACCCCGGCTCCCACCCTCCGTTGGGGGAGGAGGGACCCTCGGGTGGCCCACCCTGGACCCGGCCAGGGCTCTGAGCAAGTCCTCTCAGCCCCTTCCCCAGCACTGCCAGGATATTAACCCCACTTACACATGAGACACCCTAGGTTCAGGGCACTTGGGTGACTGCTCCAGATGCCCCAGGACCCTCTCTAATCTTATTCCCTGCCACCAAATACTCATCGTCATTGCAAGAACCACTGGGGTGGCAGGCAAAGGGCAGGGACAGATCTCTGCACTTACACAGGCCTGGGCCTGAGGGGACGGCTTCAGGAGCAGAGGGTCTCTCAGAGTCCCTGGTATGTTTCCTCTGCATGCCTTCAGCCACCTGTGCCCCAGATGCCCCTGCCTAGACCCCTTTCCCATGGCTCCTGGCACATGCCCAAATCCTCCCCGCTCCGTCTTCCACTTCTCAGCAGCAGAAGTGAAAGGTCACGGGGTCTGGAACCCAAAACAAAGCCCTGGCTTGGCCCGCCGTCCCACCAAGCCCTCCTGTGGTTTGGGGCATGCACGGGCCCTCAGGTTCCTCATCTACCAAACAGTGGGATGAGGGCCCCAACTCAGGGCAGCAACTGGCGATCGGAGTGCTGGCTTTCCGCTGTCACCGCAGCCTTGGTCAGGCATCCTAGCTGGGGCCCCGTTTTCTTTTGCCGGGTCACCCCAAGGCTCCCGCTCTTCTAGCTGTCCTCCCAGGGCTCAGTTCTGAGCTCACCGCGTGCTTCTCCTTTAAAGTCTCAGATGTCCCTTCCCCCAACAAGCCCTTTGTAAGGCGTGTCTGAGCCTCCTCAATGCAAAGCTCTCCTTGAAGACATCCCTGCACAGGCCTGGTCTTCCTGCAGCAAGTCTATTTGTCCTCAGGCCTGGGTCCAAAGCCGTCAGAGTCCCCTGGGTGCAGCCAGTCACTTTGATCCCAGAGCATTTTACAGGCTGTCCCACTGCATAGCCCACAGCTCTCTGCAAAGGCACTGGCACACACAAGCAGCAGTGCCCACAGGGTCCTCACCTGTGGCTCTTCCCAGAGTGGAACACGGCACAGCAGGTGGCACGCAGTGAGTTCTCAGCCAAAGCTTTCTGGACAAATGGCGTCGTCCCTCTCAGGCAAATCCTCACAGTATCCCAAAGAGAAGGAGTCTCTGGTCTCTATCCCCAGCTTACAGACAGACGCATAGACTGAGACACGAAGTGGGGTGATTTCCCAAGGACACCAGAGAGTGTGTGCCGGGGGCAGGAGGCCTTGAGGGCTGAGGTGGGGCCTGGGGATCAGCGGCAAGCTGTGCTCTCCAACATGATTTCCACTCTGACATTCTGGGAACGGAGATCCGGTAAGCAGCGGGTCATGGGGAGACCTGCACCACCTGCACGCCCAGGACGCCCACCATCTCCATCCGATATGGAGAAGCAACACCACACACCCCACGCTTGAATCCCACCTGCGGGGCTCGCCTGCTCTAGGCAGCAGGAGCCTCCGGAGCAAAACCTACGCAGGTGCCAAATGCCACTGTGTGCGCTCACAGCCAACCGGACAGCCCCGGGAGAGGAGAGGAACAGGGCGGCCCGAGCCCTTTGGACACCCCAAGCCAGTTTCCCCCGCTCCCAGATGCCCATCCTGAGCAGCAGCCGCAGCCCAGTGCCATCTCCAAGGCCCCCTGACGCGGCTCCAGGGCTGGAGGCGGCCTATGGTGACAGATGGCATCGGCATCATAGTACGCTGCCTAAATGGGACGCCTGACTCTCGGGCCCGTGGCCGTGGCTGCGCTGGTGGGTCTTGAGCGAGCCCTCACGCGCGAAGCTCTTGCCGCAGCGCGGGCAGAAGTAGGGGCGCCGCTCCCCAAAGACGCCGGGGCGGCGCGGGTGCGGGGCGGGCATGCGCGCGTGCGTGCGCTGGTGGTTGAGCAGGAAGCGAGGCTCGCGGAAGCAGCGGCCACACTGCGCGCACTGGTGCGGCTTCTCGCCGCTGTGGATACGCTGGTGCGTGAGCAGGTTCTGCTTGAGGCTGAAGCAGCGGCCACACTCGGGGCAGGGGAAGGGCCGCTCGCCGGTGTGCGTGCGCTGGTGCACCTCCAGGTTGTGCTTGACGCTGAAAGCCTTGCCACACTCCGGGCACACGAAGGCAGCCGTGCGCCCCGCCCCGGCGTGCGCCTTCTGGTGCCGCACCAGGCTGGGCTGCTGCCAGAAGGTCTGGCCGCACAGCGGGCAGCTGTACGGCTGCTCCTCCGCGGGGTGGTGGATGACCAGGCCTCTCTCGTCCCCCAGACCCTCCTCCCCGTCCCCCGCAGGGGACCCGTCCTCGGAGGACACCAGCTCGGTCATGGGCGCTTCCAGGTGCAATCACAAGCCCCTGGGGAGACAGAAGCAAGAAAGAGGTCAGCGTGGGGTCAGCCAACACCCACCCCAGAGGGTCGCTCACCTCCCCCAAACTCTGATGTTTTTCTTCCAGCTAAACTTCCTTTGCTGTCCCCTCTACTCCCTAATCACAGCCTGCCCTGGACCTCTCTCAAGGGCCGCCTCCTCCTAGAAGCCTTCCTTGACTCCTCTAGCGTCTCTTTGAACCTTGCTATCCAACCCTGCGACACTCCTCATCATGACAGAGCTACCTTAACCTAAGTACAGCGCCGCGGAGCACTCTGCCTACCACACAAGTGCTCAGAACACATGCAGAAGGTAATATTCATGGGCTCCGGGTATTTTAAGTAACCTTTCACCTGGACGTGTCTTATATCTCCAGCCAGACTCAAGGAAAGGCGGAGGGAAGTGCACCCCAAAGCTGGAGGGCAGGATGGGGTCATCGATGGTGTAAAGACATCTCTGCAAAGCTTCCAGCAGAAAACAAAAAACCCTGTGAACTTGAAAGGGACCTCGCTGGTGTAAACATTAAAGGCAGCTCCTCTGTCAAAATGGGGCTTGGGCTTAAATGGTTACAAGGGGGGCAGGGATCTAGCTCAGTGTATAAGTGCCTGCCTGGCAAGCGGAAGGTCCTGAGTTCAATTCCCGGTACCACCAAAAAAAAAAAAAAAAAAGTAAAAGGAACTGAGCAGTGTGAGATGGAGGACCAGTCTCAGCTCGATCAGAGTGAGGCCTGGCCCCAGGCTGAGCACATGCCCAAAGTACAACAGACACCCCAGCACCTGGGTCCCTTCCCCGGTCCTCCCAGGGTTCCCCTTCCCAGGTCACTGCGCCCCCTTTTAATTCCTTTCCCACTGTCCTTACAACAGCCCCAAGACAGGTGCAAAGCAGAGGGGTGAGGTCAACGTACTTGCCCAAGGTCACACAGCAAGGTGACTGAAGCCCTAAGTCTCGTAACTCACTGTTGAAAGCGCTTCTCAGCGTACCAGCTGCTCACCAGCTGGACACCTTTTGATACACACACACACACATGCACACACGCACACACACACACATAGGAGTTCCCCCCACCCCAGCTACTGCAGGGTCATCCATTCCCAAAAGGCCACTGCACCGGTAGGGGGACCGTCTAATGCCACCACTCCCATACTCTCAAAAAACTGCCGGGCATGGGGTTCCACCCACCCCGCGCCCCATCAGGGAGGCTGGCCGGCTGCCCCGCGGGCCCTCGCTGCCCTCGCAGCCTCCTTTCATGCACCTGCAGAGCGGGCGCTCAGAAACGCCTGTCTTGCCCGACCTTCAGGCCGGGAGGAGCGGCATTCACTCAGCCTGGTAACAGACAAGTACCCTGGGCACGAGCCTCACCCACAAGTCTTTCCCCAGGCAGCTGTGCTGACATTTGCAAAGATGGACCATGGCAGTCCCTCCGCCAGCCTCGCCTGGCCCTGGCTGGGCAGCAAGCTCTTTCCCCGCCATACCCCCGACGGAGGCCCCGCCCTCCCCGGGGTCCCAAGGCCAGGGCCCTGTCCCTCCCTCCCCGCTACACTCACAGCCTGGGCTGCGCCCCGGCTCCTCCCCGGGTCTCCAGCGGCGACGCTTTCCTCTAGAGCCCGCGCCGTGTGACGCAAACACGGTGCGGCTCCCGCAGCGACTCCCGCGCCCCTGCTCCCCGCCCCCATAAAGCCAGGAGCCCCCCGCAAGCCTGCGACCGCCGAGCAGCTGCACGCAGCCAGAGCGTTTCCCGCACCCCGCGACCCCCGCGCACAGCAGCGCCAACTCCTGCGGCCGCGCGACCCCGGAGCTGCACGGTCCCCGCGCGTTGCAGCCCCACCCCCACCCCACGAAGACACCTCGGCCGCCCCCAGCCTCGCCCGCCCTGCGCCGCCGCTGTCCGCTCCCCGGAAACCGACGCAACCCCCGCCCCGCAGCGCCCCCAAAGCACCCCTGCGACGCCGGGTAAACACGCAATTTAGCCGCGGCACCGCTGCTCCCGGCGAGGCCCGCTTGGCGCCCGCAAATACGGTAGAGGCCCGCGGTGACCCGCCCCTCGGGGTCCCGCACTGGCCTCGGTAAATACGGCAGCCGCCGCCCGCCGGGCCGGGACTCACATGGCGCCGCCTCCCAGGCCTAGTCCCCGCCGCAGCGGCGCATTCGCGACGTCCGCAGCCGCACAGCAGTCCCGTGAGGCTGGGAGGTCCAACTCGCCGACAACCTGGCGGCGGAAGAAGGCAGGCTGCGAGCGCTGCGCCTGCTCGGGCAGGAGAGGAGGCCGGTGGGGGCCGGTCCTGGGCCCCCCCAAGTGCTCCCAGCCACTCGGAAGCAGGATGAGGGAGCTGGAGGTAGCACCCCTTCTTTGAGTAGGAGAGGAAAGGGGGTAAACGCAGGCGCGCAGCTGCGGAGCATCTCAGAGTATGGGCTTCGTGGGCAGAAGACCCCCAAGGGCAGAATCACAGAGCCAGCGGCAGGTTCGGCAAAGCCCCCTCCTAGACAGCCTGGCCCCTGTCACCAGGATGGCCGAGGGGGTGGGAAAGGAATGGCTCTGGGTCCTCTGAGGTCAAGCTGAAGACAGACCACAGAAGAGCAGCTTGCAACACCCAGAAAGGCAGCAGATGTGAGGCTGAACTCCAGGTCCCCCTGCCATGAAATAATAACACCCCTTAGCTGTACACGCCTCTGCCTTTTACACACCTTCCCGTGTATACCTCGTGGGAACTCCCAATAACCCTGTGCCGTCTCCCGGGCAGTGTTATTATCCCATTTTATAGACAGGAAAAATAAAGCAGAGTGGCTTCCCTCAAGGCCCGCAGCTCTTAAGTGGCAGAGCCCAGGTGGAGAGGCAGCCTTATGACCCTGGCGTTTGCCACTGCACCATGCTGGGCCCCAGACACCCCTCCCCAAGACCTCCGGATACAAAGGATGGGATGGTTCTAGGCGTGATGGCGCACGCCTGTAATCCTAGCACTTGGGAGGCTGAAGCAGGAGCATCACTGCAAGTTCAAGGCCAGCCTGGGTACATAATGAATTCAGGTCCAGCCAGAACTACATAAGGAGACCCTTCTCAAAAGACCAAAAAAGATGACTGTAAGCAGAAGTAATCCCCTTTCTGTCTGAGCGGCTCAGAATTCACATTTGACAGATAGACAGGCCTAGGAGGGAACGTGATTTTAAAGTTACAAGTGCTAGAAGAACATTAAATGGGCTTTATTTAATTTACATTACTGTGGCCCCTCAGTAACTGCTAGGGGAAGGGAGTCCTTGGGATCTCTAAGACCCAGGCGGAGCTCCTTCTAGCAAAAGGTGGGTGTGATTGTGAGGGTGGCATGTGGGCAACTCAGGCTTTCAGGGCCGTGAAGACTCACACTCCGCTTCCATCCCGCAGGTGCTCTTTGTGCCTTACAGACACCAGGATTAGAGCATCCCAAGAGAAGCGCCTGGGCAGTAAGTCAGCCCCTTGCGCAGACACCAGATCTGGCAGCCCGCAGGGCCCAGCTGGCCCAGTCTGACCCATTCTTGACTTCTCCACCCCGCTGCTCCTGCAGCACCTCACAGAGGTCCCTGGGCACGTGCATTGTCATCCAGAAGAGACTGGTGTTTTAAATAGAGGCAGCAGGGAGAGGATGCCGGTCAGGGTCAATGTTTATCCCAGGGACAGGTTTAGACTTCCCATGGCAGTGACAACAGGACCTCCTGACCCTTGATGGCAGCCTACCCTCCGGCTGCTCACGACAGCCACACCCCCCAGCACTCCAGCTCCTCTTGCAGAAGTTGTCACCGGCCAGGACAACAGGCCACAAGAGAAATGGGGACATTCTGTGAAGACCAAGGTTTTCAAAAGCAGAATCAGTAATACAGCTAAGGATGGCAGCCGTATATTTAGCAGCACTCTCCAGGTAAGCTATGCCAAAACAGAAAAGAACACAGCTGGGGAGAGGATGCCACCTGAAGCCCTGGATCTCTGTGGGGAATGTCAAGGACCAAGGGTTTCCATCCTCTGATCTGCCACTGTGCTTTTGGGTGAGTCGCTTCACCGCTCCAGTTTCACACACATTGGACCTCCTGCCTCCCCAGCCCCTACCCCTCCTCACAGGCTGCGGTGCTGCAGCAGAACCACCTGCTGCCTCCAGGCCAGACAGTGACCAGAAAGTCTCACCACCATCCCGCATGGCAGGTGGCATCTGGACTCTTGATCTTATAAAGGCTGGGGCTGCCCACAGCCAGGGCACCCTCCAGAGCCACAGGCAGCCCACGGCTCTTGTGTGGACAAAGGAGGAGACAGCCCAGTGCCTGTCCAGAGCCCTGGCCTGTGTTCACCCTGAGGCGCACTAGATGGGCAGATGATGCTGGGAAGCTCCAGACCCTGCCCTGCCCATCCTGCAGCTCCTCCTGCAGAAGGCTGAGTCCCTGGGACCTCACACTTGGAGTGGCAACCGCCTCACTCTTAGGAGCTCCTCCTGTTCCCAGGGATCAGACAGGGTCCCTCATACCTCTCTCCAAAGCATCTGGTGCTGGCCTCAAATTTGGAATTCAACACACTTTTGTTATTCCTATCAGATGAAAACTTCAAAGGATAAGGACTGTGGTTTTAGCATCCCTGTATCCTAAGGATCCACAATATAATCTTCAGTCTATGTCAGATGAATGAGTAAATGAGTGACTGGGTTAGTGAATGAATGAATGAATGTCTCCAAGCTACATCGGACAGCTCAGGTCGGCAGCTGGGGCGGGTAACTATGGCCCCAAGTATGGTAATGTGGACAAAGGCGCTGCAGGTGAAGATGTAGCCCCAGCTGCAACTTTGAGAACTGGGAGGGACTGCAGAGACCAGGGTGAAGATGTGGAACTCTTGATGTGAGGTCTCATTTGATCCACATTTTAGAGTTAAAACCCAAGACATAATCTATAACATCAGTTCAGCCAAATCCTTAATTTGTGGCAGGCCTGCTTAACCCAGGCGGCGGTCCACGCTCATAAACACTGAGCTAAATAGAGGAAAAACATTTCCTTCTCTTCCCACAGACACGCATGCTCTGTAAGCAGCCATGCATGGCATTTATTTATTTAATCTTGTTTGTTTTTGCAGTAGTGGGGATTGAACCCAGGGCCTTCACACTGAGCTACATGCCCGGCACTTTTTTTCTTTTTTATTTTGAGACAGGGTCTCACTAGTCACTAAGTCGCTGGGCCCAAACTTGTGGTGCTCCTCCTCATCTTCCTGGAGGGCTGAGATTACAGGCATGTGTCTCATGCCTGGCTTACATGTGGAGCTTATTTAAAATGATAATAATAATAATAGCCACCATTTATTGAGTGCTTGTAAATGCCCAGCACTCAGTAAATGGTAGTTATTATTATACCTTGCCAGGGTCCCATAACTTAAATGGCAAAAGCCAGAAACATCTGATTATATAGTTCTCTCAACAAAAGGACCAAAGGTCTTTTTAGATTTCGGGCCATGGGTGAAAGGGAGGGAGGGAGGAAGGGAAGACAAGGCTTCTTGCGCCTTGCCAGTAGGAACATCATTCCTAGGGCTTAGCCATTTAAATTAATTAAAATGAAAGAAAAGTTAAAATCCAGTTTCTTGGCCAGATTATAAGTGTTGGACAGCCACACGGGAAGTGTAGACAGAATATTTAATTGTCACATGGCCTTGGACACTTTCACCTCCAACCTGGCTGCCGTCCCCTCTTCTACCCCGAGGGACCTAAGTGATACCTCTGCTCCCCCTCTGCGCTGTCCCTGCCTGCACCCAGGAAGAACAGTGATAAGTGAGAACGTACTATTTTTGGTCCCAACGTTCCTACTCTTGCCAAAAGGTCAAAGATATTTCTTTACTCAACTCAAACCATGTTAAAAATAATAAAAGGTTTTACCTTTTATTCTCACCCTCTTCTTTGCCAGTTTCTCTGCCGGGTCCCCGCTGGGCACTGGGCCTGCTCTGCCCCTTGGTCAGTGTACCTGTGCATGCTGAGCGGCTACACCTTGGTCTCTGTGACCCCCCCTTTCCTCAGACAGATCCCCATGGCTGTGCCCAGACACCGTGAGGTTGGGTATCCGGCACCAAGCCAAGGAGCCCAATGGCCTCCCTGGCAGACCTGATGTTCATGTTGCTTGCCAAAGAACTGCCGCTGTCGGAGTACCCAGGGCATCTTTCTTAGTCCCCAGCCTGTCCCTAATAAAAGAACAAGGGACTTCAGAAACCCCAGCCCCACCCAGTACAAGTGGCTTACTGCAAGCCTGACGGCGGGCAGGATAGGAATCCTTTCGGATCTTTATGTACTCGTGGTTGTTTTCATTCCCCAGTGCCACCCTGCACTCTGTCCACCGTATCTTAAATCAGAAGACACTAGGATAACAAGTCTGATCGCGTCTTTGATTTTATGAGACATCTCTTCGGAAATATTCTGACCCGCTGTTATCACTTTAAAATGAAAGGGAAAGAAAACTGGAGTTGACAGTGCCGTGCCGCTCTTGGAGAAGTCCATGATTTTGATACTGGATGCAGGATAACAGGAGGCCTGGGACCGACCATCTGTCTGCAACAAAGGACAAGTCACACTGGCCCAGCCTCATTTTCCTAGCAAATGGAGACATCACCGCCTACCAACATCACCAGCCACGTGAGATTAGGAATCTGAAAGCCTTGCTGCGATGTCCCAGGTTAACCATGTAGATTTTCCAAGTCATGTGTGTTATCAAGATGCTTTTCCATGAAGCTCTTCGAGCTCAAGGGCAGGGACAATGTCTCACTCATGGCAGCATTCCAGAAGTCTGCTAACATGCCTGGCACACAGTAGGCCTGAGCTGATCAGTGGGCGCACGCATTGGTAACTCATCACCCCAGGGGATTTGGCCCTGCCCCCTTACAACCCAAAGCACTGGTGTGTGAGTTGGTCCCCCAGGGAAAGTGAGCAGGTATCCTCATGAATTTGCAGGAGCGGGGAGCTGCGATTAGGCCTCATTCACACCCAGTTCTACCAACACTGCACTCTGACTTATTGTCAAACACACGCCATTTGTGGAACGAACACGTTCTACTGGAGGACAGCCCTGCCAGTTTGATCTTTTCAGCATCTGCCCTACCGGACTCTGCGGTGACCCAGTGTTTCTTCAGGTCCGACCTGTGGGTCCTGGCTCCCACCCAGGAGGGAAGGATGGTGCCGGACATGCCTCCCTGCTGTGGGTGAGCTTGCTTGCATTGGCTTCAGGATTTGCTAAGCAGCAAAGAGAAGGAAGCAAGTGACTTTGAAGTGTCCTCTACAGCTAGATTAGGTTTTAATATGACCAAGGGCCCTGGGCACTTTCTGGGCAGGACAAAGCAGGCGGGAAATGAGCTGTAGGAGGGGCAGGGCCTGAGGGCAAGGCAGGGGGCACCCAGGGCTGGCGAGGCTCAAAGGGGCGCCCAGGAAAACCCTTCTGGTTTGGCTTTGTGTTGATCCTGAGAGCACCGAGGTGGGCAGTGACCCCGCCACACCTCACTCACGGTGGGATTTCAGTTTGTGATCAAAGAACTGGAGCAGGAAAGGTGAGCCGAGCGGGCGAGTGGCCCAGGCTTATGTGGGAACAGATACCAAACAGACTGGAAGGAGAGACGGGGGGAACTGTCCCCCACCTGGGACAAGAGCTGGCAGAGGGGCGTTGCTGTGCTCAGGGCAAGAGCTCCCTGCCCGGGTTCTGGGCAGATGGGTCCCCTGGAGCAGTGTGTGACCCAGGCTTCAGCAAGGGTGGCTCAGAGACACTGAGACCATGGGAATGCATTCTTCTCAACTCCTGGGAGGAAAAGGACCCACGTCAGTCAAGTAAGCCACTCACTATCCCCAGCACCCTGGGCAGCGGGGACACTCGGCCTTGGACAAGGAACACCACACTATGCAGCTCTCCAGAAACATTTACTGGATGGTCATTAAGGGCGAACAGCGTCCTTGGTGTTGGAAATACGCTTGCCCCTCCCTATCCACCACCTCTGCTCCATCCTTGGTCCCCAGCTTGTGGCCACCATCCCATGGGGACAACCCGTAGGCAACCCTGCAGCCCGAGTGTGGCAGGCTGGGGATGCAGCTTACCGGTCCTGGCCATTTCATGCCAGGAACCTCTCTCAGGGACCCCAACAGCCGCTCACCCGGAGCCCGAGAGGCCTGAGGTCCACCTCTTGGAGGTGCACAGCACACGGTGGGGCCCAGGCTCTGTGGGGAGAGCGGATCTCAATTCCTCCTTCAGCACAACCTGGGCGCTTTGCCAAGCACCCTCGGGATGCTGCTGGAATTCTGTTCTCAGGTCTCAGCGCCTGGAGGAACTACCTTTTGCATGGGTCTTGTGAGAAGTGCCAGCCTGCCAGGCTTCCCAGGTCCCCACATGCACCGCACACGCACACTACAACGCCCCTTCCTCTTCCTCTTGGGAGGCACAAGGCCGGGGCGCCAGGGCTCCGCGGTGGACGCGTTGGTGCTTGAGCAGGTGCTGTTTTTGCCGGAAGCCGCGGCCACACGCAGCGCACACGTAGGGCCTCTCCCCGGTGTGGTTGCGCTGGTGCCGTGTGAGGTTGGGTTTTTGGCTGAAGCGGCGGCCACACTCCGGGCAGGCGTAGGGCCGCTCGCCCGTGTGGATGCGCTGGTGGATGGTGAGCGCCGACCACCATGAGAAGCTCTTGCCGCACTCGTTGCAGATGAACTGGCGCTGCTCGCTGGGCCCTGCCACGCCTGAGCGGCCCCGGCCCCACACAGCACGGTGCCCTGTCCCCTGGGGACTGCAGAGCTGTACAGAGTCCGGGCTCCCGGGGCCCTCGGTGGGTGGCTCAGGGCGCAACTCCCCATCCAGGAGCTCGGGCCCAGGGCGCTCGGACGCATGCACGCGCTGGTGGGCGCGCAGCGCGGCGCGGCTGGAGCAGCTCTGCCCGCAGCGGGAGCACGGAGCTGCCTGCGCGCCGGGTAGGTGCGTGCGCAGATGTTTCAGCAGGTGCTGCTTCTGGCGGAAGCCGCGGCCGCAGTGCGGGCAGGGGTGTGGCCGCTCCCCGGTGTGGTTGCGCAGGTGCCGTGTGAGGTTGGGTTTCTGGCTGAAGCAGCGCCCACACTCGGGGCAGGCGTAGGGCCGCTCGCCCGTGTGGATGCGCTGGTGGATGTTCAGCGACGACCACCACGAGAAGCTCTTGCCGCACTCGTTGCAGATGAACTGGCGCTGCTCCCCGCCGGGCCCCGAGGCGCCTGGGACTGAGATCTGGGACCCAGGCTGGCTCCACCAGCCCTGGCACAACCCTAGCCAGGCCCACTCGGGACGCCCTCGAGGTGGCCCTGGCCGCAAGCGACAGGCCCTGCGCACCGCCGGGTTGCGCACCGCCGGGTTCCGCAGCGCCTCCTGCAGGCCTGTGCGTGCGCCCTGGCGGTCCCGGGCATGTGCGCGCTGGTGGATGCGCAGGCCCACTTGGTGGCGGAAAGAGCGCTCACACTCGGGACACGAGTGGATGGTGGGTCGGGAGTGCGTCTTCTGGTGCTTGAGCAAGTGCTGCTTCTGGCTGAAGCGCCGGGCGCACTTGGGGCAGCAAAAGGGCCTCTCGCCCGTGTGGTGCCGCTGGTGGCGAGCCAGGTTGGGCTTCTGGCTGAAGCTCTTGCCGCACCTGCTGCACAGGTAGGGCTTCTCCCCGGTGTGGGTGCGCTGGTGGATCTTCAGGGACGACCACCAGCTGAACCTCTTCCCGCAGTCCACGCACACAAAGTGACCCACGCCCGCTGAAAGTGCGGGGCTCAGAGGGCCTACAGCTGTCCCCGGGGCCCGGCCTGCCAGCCTCACTTCGGGCTCAGGGGGAGGGGCCCACCCTGGACATCCGGGCTCCTCCTTCGCCCCCAGAGCCCGCAGCCGCCCCATGGCCTGGCATGATGGGAGGCTCTGATGCTGCTGGCAGATGTTCTCCTTATCTTTCTCCGGGAGCGCGGCCTGCCCCGCCAGCGTCTGCAGCAGCCGCTCTGGCTTCTCTTGCTTAATCTTCATCACCAGCCCATCTCCTGCCGCAGGGAAAGAGAAAGGATGGGGAGAGGTCAGCAGCTGCTGACAGGTGGAGACGAGGGGGAGCGTGGATGGGGCACGCAGAGGGCAGAGAGCAGCTGGAGAGAGGGCACAGTCTCTAGATGGAGGCAGGAAAACGGGAAAGAAAGGGAGTAGGGGACAGAAGGAAGCACACAACAAGGGCAGGCAGAAGTGTGGGAGCAACGGGGAAAATGCAAGAAGGGTAAGTGACTGGCTCAGGCGCTGAGGACACTGAGGAGGACGGGTTCTCCAGGCAGAGAACCTTAAGGAAAAGAGCCAGGGGAAGTCTGGGAGTCTACAGGCAGCAAGGAGAAAATGGCCAAGCTTCAAAACATAGAGGGTCCCCGTAGCCCCTCAGTAGTTAGGGTGACCTGGCCCCAGGTCACTGTCGCGGCCCCTCTACTCACTGGGCCCCTGCTCCAGGGGGGCAGCCAGCCATGGTGCAGACCTACTAGGCCCTCTGCTGTGTGGCAACGTTCCCTTCTTCAACAAAACCAACAGAACAGGGGCATCAGCACCCCAGACAGGTGTCGTGCTACCCTTGTGTTAAACCTAATCCACTTTACTCAGGAGAGTACCCCACACACAGCTCCCAGCCACACCTTACACCGGAGGAGCACAGGTCTGCAGAGGTGCTTTGCCTGTCTCGCTCCAGGACATAAGGAGGTGTAAGACTACATCTCCTTTAGACACTAAAGAATACATACCACATGATTTCACTTACATGAAGAGCAAAAGGTGGAAAACTAATGCATGAGTTAGGAGTCGGGGTAATGGCCACATTCAAGGGCATGGGTTCCGAGGTTTGGGGAATGCTGTCTCGTGTTGTGGACGCTGGGTACATGGGTGTGTTCACTTAAAGAGAATTTACAGAGCTTGTGATCGGGGCACTTATCTGCGTGTGTTATATTTTAATAAAAAGTTCACATTCAGCCAGGCGTTGTGGCACACATCTATAACCCCAGCATTTGGAAGGCTGAGGCAGGACTGCTTCAAGTTCAAGGCCAACCTGAGCTATGTTGTGAATTCAAGGCTGGTCTGAGCTACATGGAGAGACCCTGTCTCAAAAAAAAAGAAAAAAGTTGACATTCAATAAAAAAGTGCTAGAACAGTACAAGTGAGAAAAGAGACTATCTCTAAATAACGGATTTCAACACTACAAACACAACAAAATAAACTCAAAAAGGTAGAAAAAAGGTATTAATAAAAATAAAAACATATTTTAGAAAACAGGTACAAAAAGGACTCTGAAAACCTTAAAAAGTTATGTATAGACTGTATATCTATAAATTTGAAAATTTAGATGAGAGACCATTTTGTAAGAAAATATAAATTCAAACTGACTCAAGAATAGCAGGAAAACCTGACTATATAATAAACAGAAGAAAGTCAAAGTTCTACCCCAAAATAGGCAATAAACCACATAACTCATAAATAGATTCTATTAAGAATTCAAGAGGATTATTCCCAGCATCTAATTGTTTTATTTTACTAAAGTTAATCTAAATTTAAATTCATACAGACACAGATACATAATGGATAGCACAGGTTTAAGAAAAATATGTGCCAATATATGGCCAATGACATTTTTAGAATATGTAAAAGACTCATGTAGAGATGATGAAACGAGGTTGAACCTCACTAGTCGGCAAAATGACAGTGTAGCATCTTTTTATCCATCACACCAAGCAGAAGGGGGAAATGGATACTATCACAATACATAGGGGCTGGGGATTTAGTTCAACGGCACAGCGCCTGCCCAGCAAGCATAAGTTGTGAGTTCAATTCGCCGTACCAGGGGAAAACAAAAACAAAAACAAAAACAAAAACAATACACAGGGAACTACCTAACAGGGACAGGGGTGCACAAGGGCATCGTGGGGCATATCAGGGGTGTCTCCTTTATAATATAAAATACCATGAGCAGCGGAAAAGACTGGGAAAGAACTGCACATGTCAATGTGGGAAGACTTCCAGATCATTTTAGGAGAAACCAAAAAGCAAGTTGTAAAACCAGTATGAGTCGTCCGATCCAATTTATAAAAAATGAAACTTGATGTCTCTCCATGCATATGAACCTGCGGAGTCCAGGATGGGGCAGTGGTCCCCTCTGATAGGACGTGAATGACAGTAGGGCTGGCTGGGGAGGTCAAAGGGGAACTTCACTTTATCTGTTTTTCAGTTGGTATGGGAATAGTCAAGTATTAATGATTTTTAAGTCTGTATAATTTTTAAAGAAACAAGGGGGAAGGGACCATGGAAAGTGCCTTTAAGGGACCCGGTTTCCAGTTTTAGTATATGTGCTGCCGAAGCAAGCATAGGGACCTGGTTTCCTCTTGGCAAAACAACTCCATCTGCCTCCTCTAGGGCTTGGTCATGAAAACTCATTTTATTAAGAGTCATAATTTGAAAACAAAAATGGTGATTTAAATTACATATTGGCAGGGGGTGAATCAGCAATGAGTGTAACTGATTGTAAGAATGTTTCTTCAGCTGCACCCAACTGTTGGCCAACAGAAGTATTTAAGGCACTAGGTGTCCAAACTGGCAGCCTGAGGGCTGGGGGTTTAGCTCAGCGGCACAGCGCCTGCCTGGCAAGCGCAAGGTCCTGAGTTCGGTTTCCGGTACCGGAAAAAAAAAAAAAAAATTGGCAGCCTGGTGGTAAATACAAGATATACTCAGATGGGAAGACACTGCGTCCCTGAGTGACCCTGTGTCCATCCGTGTCCCACAGCTCCCCATTTATGCTTCACCTGGCTAAACCTGGCTAAATATCCACCAGAGGCTGCCTCCTCCACACCGAAAGATATCTCTGTGCTCAAAAGCCTGAGGACCCCAGGACAATGCCTTTGTCTTTCCACCTACAAAGGGCATGGGGCACATACAAGCCCAGCACAGGTCCCTGCAGGTCCTTGAACTAGACTGGGATGCACTTGAACCCAAGCCTGTCCCAAGACACAATCTTTTATGGCTCAGTTATTGATCCACAGCCTCTGGCTTACAGAGATTACTCCTCAGTCATCATAAAAAAGAATGTTTTATCTTTAGTTTTACTTGATTGATTGATTGTGGAACTGGGGATCAAACGCCAGAGCCTTTACCCCGAGCTATACCTCCAACTGTTTTATTTCCATGTTGAGATAGGGTCTCCCTAAACTGTTAAATTGTCCAGGCTGGGCTCGAACTTATGATCCTCCCAGAGTGCTGAGATTACAGACGTGCACCATCACACTGGGCTGATGATTTAAATTTCAAATGGTTCAGGAATAGTAATAATGAGGATTATTACTCAATAGGTATGGAGTTCCTGAGGGAATAAAAAAAAAGATCTAAAAATAGATGGTGGTGATGGTTTCACAGCATTGTTAATGTGCTTAATGCCAATGAATTATACTTTTGAAATGGTTTACATGAACTTTATGTTAGGTATAGTTTGCCACAATCCTAAAATCACATAAAATGTATATAAATTAAAAGAGGGCTGAGAATGTAGCTCAGTAGGAGAGCTCTTTTTAGCGTGCTGGAGGCCCTGGGTTGTACCCAGTACCACAAAAGAATATGTAAGTAAAATACGCAAGCTGCCAACTCTCTGACAAACATGGCCCTCTAGAATGAACAGCTCTGTAAATCCAGCCAGGCAGGCAGCTTGAGGGCCATGAGAACACAGCTGCTGCCCAGGGCTCGCCCTGGAGACCCCATGTGCCCCAGCGCTCCAGGATTTAGGCCAGGGTTTCTCAAACTCTTCCCTAAAACCATAGGCTCGCTTCAGGAGCTTCCCTAGGGAGGGCAGAGGGCTCTGGTGGCCTGTGTCTCGTGTCAGCTAGAGCTGACCCCAGCTACCTGGGCCCCACTTGTGAGTTTATCTGGAGAGAGTCCTGCCGCAGAAGCATCTGGCATGCATGCTCTAAGACTTTCTAAAATGTCTGTAATTTGTAAGAACTCAGATTCCAAAATGAGGCCAGGCTGTGACAGCCCAGCTATGCCACCACCACTGCCAATGCCCCCAAAGGGTCTGTGTCAGGCCCCAGCCCAGAAAGGGTGGCTTCCACACAGCACACCGCTGCCCCTGGAGCCTGCCAGGAACACCTGTCTCTTTCCCAGTTACTGCCTGATTTTTGTCTCAGTCTTAGGGACGCTGCAGTGATTTTCCCGGAGAGGGTAGGTGGCTCTCCCTCTAGGGGCAATGGGGCAGGGGCTCTGGGGTCCATGGGGCAACTCCCAGAGCCAACCTCTGCCTGCTCTCAGGCCCAAGGACACCAGGACAGGGGCTGCAGAGAGAGCAGGACGAGTGGCTCACGGGAACCAGGGCTGCTGCAGAGGGGTTGGGCCAAGAGCACATGACTGGACTGGAAAATTTTCCACTCCGGGAGCACTAGCCTGGGAGATGTAGGCCCCAGCCAGTAAAGACCCTGAACTCTGGGTGACCCCAGGAAGCCCTAACAGCCTGACACACTCTGCTGATCAACAGCCTGTTTTAACCCTCTTTCCTACCAGGTGCTAGTTTGCCGTGCTGAATTAGCAGAATCCCCTTAAATCCCCTTTCTATCCCTTAAAACGCACTTCAGTGATTTCTACTGCTCCGGGCATGCGTGTAACAGACCGGGCTTTGCCACTTCTTCGTTCCCGTGGATGCTGTCCTTGTTCATCCTTTGGGCACCCTTCAAAGTCCTGGCCCCCACCCTGAAACCATTCTACAAGCCACTAGGGCAAGGCTGGCAGCTTAGTCTCAGCTCTGGGCAGACAAGGGCAGGTGGGCCTGGGAGGGGGAGGAGGCCAGCTCCCCTCTTCTCTCTTACCTGTGCTGTCACCAGGCTGGCCGCTCTCCATCCCTGGAGGTCTCCCACGGAGTCAGCACTGGCTGGGTCCCTGCCCTGCCATGTAGGGGTGAGATGGAAGCGAAGAGGAGAATTGGCCTATGGGAGGAGGACGGTACTGTGCTTCCCAGGCAGTAGAACGCGTGATCTCTTTCCCAAGAGCTTTTCTAGCCATGGCCTCAGTTCAGATGTGTGGGTCTCTAACTGCACACCTATCTGACGGACAGGTTAAAACAGCTTCATTCATGGTTGTTTAAGAGGAAGTAGGCCAAGGAGGACCCCAGACATGCCCAGAGTTGCAGAGTGCAGGGAGGCAAAAGCCCAGGTCTCCCAACTCCCGGGCCAGGGCTCAGGTCCCACACTCTCAATATCAACACATGGTGTGAGAAAGACCCCACACCTGAGAGCCAGGGACCTCAGGGAAGGGCTGGGGGGTCGCGCGGGGCAGAGCGCTTGCCCAGCAAGCACAAAGCTTCCATCCCCAGCACCACCAAAAACCCACAGACAATCAAAGCACTGCTAGAAAGCAGAGCCGCCCCTGTGTTTTCCAAGCCCGTGGCCCCTTTCAAAGTCCCCATCCATGTTCTACTGCAAGCCCTTCTGAGGCGTGTCGCAGCCACCCCTGGATGAGAACCGTCCCTCCTTCACTGACTGAGCCATCAGCATTTTCTTCACTTTATGGCCACGCCTCTGAACATTTCCTGACTGTTCTCTTCACACTCAGAAGGAAGGTAGCTGGGGCAGGTCACCTTCCCAGGGCAGCCATCCCTGGCACCTTGATGCACAATTACAAGCCTAACTCCACCCTCCCGGCCCTTCTAACCTCTGACGCGCCCTTCACTCGTCCGTCTGCTGCCCACCATCATGAGCCCAGCCACTGCTCGTGCTCAGCGCCCAACCCTGATGCCTAGGACAAAGCCTGGCAGGCCAGTGCACTTAACAAATCCATGTGGCATAAAACGTGTGCTGCCTGGCTTTGAGCTGAGGCTCAGAGACGGGCTCATTGCGCCCACGACCTTGATGTGTGGCTGTCACTCCTAAGGGCACAGTGGGGACAGCTGGCTTCCTCACAGACACCCACGCTCTCCTTCCTCCCTCCTTCAGGTCCCCTTCCTGAGTCTACTCTAGGGACACCTACCCAGGTGGGAAAGCTGGACCCTGAGCGGGCATGGTGGTGCATGCCTATAATCCCAGCAGTCTGGGAGGATCTGAACTTGAGCTCAGCTTGGGCAACTAGTGACTTAGCAAGATTGTTTCAAAACTTTTTTTAAAAAGGTGGGGGGACTGGGAATATAGCTCAGTGTGAAAGCCCTGGGTTCAGTCCCCCATATGCAAAAAAAAGACATCAACAAAAGATGGAAGAGAGGTACAAGAATCGAAAGCAAAAATACTTCCATGGTTGCGAAGGGGGAAAGGGACAGCCCCCTGGTTTTAGGAGTACTTTCTTTAGAAACTTCTCACTGTTAAGCCGGACTCCGTCCTTTTGAGCCATAAGTAAATCTGTAAAGCTAAATAAGCCCCAGGCCAGCTTTAGAAGGCAGGAAAGTCTTTCTGGAGCACCTGGGAGCCACTGCTTTGAGATGTAAGCTTGCTGAAGCCAGGCCATCTCCCGGGAGGGCGGGAACCTAACTCAGGCAGGAGCCCGGCTCCAACCTGCAAACTTACTTCCTGTCATAAAAATAGGAATTTATTTTTCTTTTGGGTAAGGGAAGTGGCAAACAGGTCACCCAGCTCCCAGGTGGGTTCTGGATGGCACTGTGACGTCCCCTTGCTTGAGGAGTAGTTACGGTTTATCTTCAGAGCAGGTGTGCCCGTGTGGCTTCTGCTGAAGACTGTCCAAAGTAATAACGTATTCTGGTGATTTCGTTTTCTTTCTCTCCTTTTGTGCAGAGTGTTTCTAGGTTGGCAAGGGGCTGATTTCAATTATTTCCCCAGCAAGGGTTGCCCAGCACCCCTACTGTGTTTTCTCATGGACATGGGGAGCAGAGGTGGCAGCAGGAAGACAGCGGGTGAGGCCCACCATGCCAGGCCCAGCTGGGGGCTGGAGGGGCCCAGGCAGCAACCCTGGCTGCTCCCTGACCCCTGCAGCCCCAGTGTGAGCATCTGCATCCCAAGCCACTGGCCACTTCTCACCGTGCAGACTGAACATCCGCCTAAGAGGCTCAGAGGACCATGGAAAGGGTTAGGTAGGCTGAGGTAGTCAAAGCTGGGGTTACAAATCTGGGGCAGGGTCAGAGGGTCCCTAGAGGGTCCTGTGACATGCCTAGGGGTCCCTAAACCAAACCCAAGAGTCTTGCTGTACCCACTCTGGGTTCTAAGAGCTGGTAGGACCTCGAAGTTGCCTCCTGTGATGCCTGGCGGCCCTGTCCAGGACATGAAGGCAAACAGCCCTGAGCAGGAACAGGCGGACCCACAGGGAGGAAGTAAGAAATGAGGGACACACAGAAGACAGGCACGGGGAAGGCAGCCACGCCTCTGGGGACTCGGGTCCACCTGTGTCCTCAGGTGGGACGGATCTGCAGGCCACACCCTGGGAATGCCAAGCAAAGACAGTCCCTCTGTGTGGACACCCATTCTGGGTCCACTACGCTGCCTTCTCTCCAAATCTGCCTCTTGCTAGGCCACCTGGCTCGCCCCTCCTCAACCCCACTCAGACACATCACACAGCTGCCAGCACCTAGGAAGCAGCTGCCCTGCAGAACGTCCCTGCAGAGCCCAGGAGTACACACCCCAAGTGTCTGAAGACAGCCTATCACACAGGCCCAGATCCTACCTCCCGGCAACGGAGTCGTGGGAGGACTCCAAGTCACCTCCCACTTCCTCCTGCCTGTCTTCGCTGGGCCAGACCACAGGGGATAAGAAACCCGCAGAGAGGAGGCCCAGTTGCTCTGACAACTGGGAGCCGCATGGAGAGGAGGTGGCAGGCTGCAGCAGGTGCTGGGGCCCAGGCCGGGGCGGTGACAAAGGGGCCTGAGTGTGAGCAAAGACTTGGCAGCTGGGCTGAGAAGCAAGGCCACAGGCCGTGGAGAGGCAGCTTGGGGACTGTCCAAGTCTCCCCACTTGTCCCCAAATCACAGTGCCTAGAACAGCTCAGGGCCCAGGAAGGGAAGTAAGTGGGTGGTGCCCTGCGCATCCTTTGTCACCAGCCAGGCAGGACAGTGCCTTTATTATAGACAGCTGAGTTAGGTAGAAATATAAGTCCGACAGGCCCAGGCCCTCAAGGGGGTCGGTGCAGAGGTTGAGAACACACTGCAACTGCGGCTGGTGCTGCATTGGTCGAAGGCCTGGCCTCAAGATAAAGACGGAATAGGCAGGCCTGCGTGCCTCCCCAGGGATATGTAATAAATTGAAGATTATACTATAACGGGTATCACCTGGTCCAATAAAATCTAGATAGACATCAGCCACCCAGGTGGGTGACAGAACCTTCTGACTCATCCCTTCCTAAAAAGCTCTTTGCTCCTTCCATGTACACTTGCTACGTGACCTGCTTCCCCACTGGATCACTATTACCTAAGCGGCTGTCCTTGTAATCTTATTGGCTGACCATAGTTTGCCCCGAGCTGTGCCCACCTTGTGATTTTGCTCTATAAAACGTCCTTTGAGAAGGGGGCTCATGGGCAACGCACTTCGGGGTCCCCTCCTGTCTCTCAGGAGCTCTCTCTCCCAATAAATTTCACTTAACCTCTGCTGTTCCTTAGAATGCATTCTTCGATGTTCGGAGACACGAATCCAGTGTATCCGACATCCAGCAGGTCACAAGTTATATTATTTCCCCTTTACCACCTACAGCAGGAGCCGAGGCCACACCTGACTTTGGTTCTGCTTTTTTTGTACCCCCCCCACCCCCGCCAGGCATGGCAGCAGCTGCAGGGTGACAGGTTAGGGCAGCCAGATCCACACTCGTGGGCCACCACCTGCTGGGGACCAGCTATGCCAAGTACTCAGCATGCATCATCTGTATCATCCTTCAGCAAAGGAGACCATAGCTCAGAAAAGTTAGGTCATTCAGTCAAGGTCACACAGCCAGTAAGTGCTGGAGCCAGGACCAAGCTGGGGGACCTGCCCCGGCCTGGTGCTCTCTTGGTGACCTTGTCTTCTCCAAAGAGATAACGTGTGACTTACTCCGGAGCCATCTGTGGCCAAGACAACCTTCCATCCCCCTTCATTTCAGAGGTTTGGCTTCTATAGCCACATGAACTTACCTAAATTCAAATAAATTAAACTTAAAATTCAGTCTCCTATTCACACTGGCCACACTGAAGTGCTCACCAGTCACTTGTGGCCAGTATGGGTGGTCAAGGTCATTTCCATCTTCCCGGAAAGCAAGCTTCAGGAAGGCAGGGACCATGCCCTGCCTGACCCTGATAAGCAGGTGATCGATCAACACCAAATTGATTAATTAAACAAATGGAGGACTCTGAGAGGTCACGCCTGCGGCCCCTGACCTTTGTCACAAACACCAATCCCTTGGGCTGAGCCAACGTTCCCTGCCTGGGAAATGGATTTCAGTAACAGCCGTGATGTTGTCACTTTAAATATACAACTGACAGCACACAGGAAACACCTGGAAAAACACCAGTGCACCCACACGCCCAGACAGTCCCATCTAAACCCGGCTAAGCAAACGAAAGTTCAAAGATGCAAAAATACAGAGACCCAGCACCATGCAAGACTGACACAGGAGGATGGAAAATTCGAGCCCAGCCTGAGAAACAACCCTGTCCCAAAATTTTAATAAAAGGGGGAGGGGATGCGCTGAAGATTTAGCACAGCGCAGAGACCTTGAGTTGAATCCCCAACATCAGAGAGAACTACATTCATATAACATCTATAATAGTACACTGTTATAACTAGTCTGTTTTATTATTAGTTATTCTCCCACTGTGCCTGATTTGTAAATTAAATTTCATCTTCCCCAGGTGGGTATGTACTGTATACGAGAAACAGTAAACACAAGGTTCAGTACTGTCCATGGGGGTCTTGGAAGATATCCACCAACATAAGGGGGGCTAGTGTATCTACAAATACGGAGAATCTGAGATAGATTTTAAAACTCACAGACACACACAGCACGGGCGCTCTAACATGCCGACGGGAGGCGTGTCAGCACAGATCCTTCCACAGCACCCATGCAAATGGATGAGTCTGTCAGGGCAGCGTCCTCAAATATCCAAAGGCCCCTTGCTCCAAGAAACAGAACTCGGGGGCACAGAGGTGGAAGCACCCCGTCCACAGAGAGCCAGGAAGCTCTGGGCAGTCACCTGTTGGGTTCCCCGGGCTTGGAGGAAGGTGGCACAGGCAGTGAAGGTTGGAAAGTGCTGCGGGAAGGCTGGAGTGGGGCAGAGAGTTCTGGAAAAACAACTAGACAGCACCCAGCAGGCCCAGCACAGCATGAGACCCCCCTCCCCGGGGGCTCGCCTGTGGTTTTCAACCCACCAGAAAGCAGTGGGCCTTTTCCTCTGGACACCTTGGGCAACCCTCAATTGCCACAGGGCTGGATTGTCAGCCCATGTCCCACCTCAAGCCCTGCCCATGGCTTCGAAGGTCCTTCCACACATCGGGCCCACATCACCCCTGAGGGTGTGTATCGGGAGCCGAGTCCTAGCCCCTGTCAGCAACCCCCTGCCTGTCCCTGACACGTCACTTCAGCTCCCTGAGCCTCAGGTTCCAGAGTGGGGGTGGCTGAAGCACTTTCTCCAAGGGCTTGTTACAAGCATCAGACGAGGCTGGCCCGGAACCACGACCCTTTGTGAACCCTATAAAGTAGACAGCGTGTCTCTCTGTCTGAGAACGCCCCACGCCCACATCTCACAAGGCCTCTTTGCAAAGTCCCCTGCTGCCCAGCCTTCCTGAACCATGACTTCTTCCAGCCCATTCAGAAGCAGCGGGCCACAGAACCCTCCAACTCCATCAGGCCCTGAGCGGGAAGAGGGCTGGGCACAGCTTCCCCTGTGGTCCTGTCGGCAGGGTCCGCCTAACAGAGCAGCTTATGTCCCAAAACTGAACCCCATACAGATCCGGGGCCTCCAGTCCCGCACCCCAGCACCAGGCATGCCCAGCGCCCCCTGCATGGCCCCCCATGCCCCCTCATCACTCACCCCTCTCCTCCCCACCTTCAAACCTCCAGATCTTCCCCACCACAGAATGCAAACAGCTCACAGCAATACAGTCCTACCAGTGCCATTTTAATGAGTCCCAAGATCGCCCACTGCCCGCGGGAGTTCAGGGCTCACTATTTCTCCCTGGGAAGACTTAAACGACTCTATGGCTTGTCTTGCTCCCTACCATCCATTCACCACCCAACCAATTTTTCTAAAATCAAAATGTGGACATTACTCCCTTAGGTGAAGTCATTCACTTTTAGATTTAGCTAAAAAAAATTTGGCAAAGACATTCAAAACCTGGTCTTCGGTCACCCCTCCGCGGCACACACCCCACCATACACCATCATCTCCCAACGGCAGCTCCTGAACCTGTTACATCCTCCTATACCTGAAGGCCTGTGACAGGTCCTGGGATGGCCTTGCGGGCTCTTCGACTCAGCCCAGACCAGGAGCACTTTGGCTGGGAAGGCCTTGTAGGTCCACCGGGCTGCCCACAGCCTGTTCTGTTTGGCCTGAGCACCGTCCAACCCTGTGCGGTTGCAGGGATGGGCTGTCATCACTGGTGCTGCTGTCTCCACGGCCGGGTGACAGGCGTCTTAACCGGGGATGCTTCTCTCTCCCCAGCACCCAGTACAGGCTCTGCGTGCAGTAAGCCATTACTAAACATGGTTGTAAGACAACAGGGGAATCACAAAAAAGAAAAAAATAAAAAAAAAAAAATTGCAGTCCAAAATAGAGTAGAAGCGCGGAATCAAGGAACCTTGGAGCTGAAAGATGACAAATGCCATCTATCTCTTCATCTTACTGATGAACACTGGGAATGGGAAAGTACATAAACGGTAGACCCTGCACTGTCGATGGCCTTCAACTCTGGGACTCTGACCACACCCAGCCCCAGGCTCCGCTGGCTTCCATCTTGCCCTAAGGGCTGCAGGAGGCAGCATCTCTATACCTCCCACCTACCTTGACAGAGGAAGGAGCCCCTCCCCTTCTCACCCCACCAGATCCGGCGGGTGTTCCTCTTACTAGAATGAACATTTGGAGATCCCCCACCCCTCCACGCACAGTTGCAACTTCTGCTTTCTTCCCGCTCACCGTTCTTTCTCCACCCCCAGTCTGTATCTCCGCTCCTGCAATTACGCATTTATTGAGCACCTACTATGAGCCCTTATACAGTGAGCCTGGGGGCTCCTAACCCAGAAATCGGTTTATGTGGGAGGCGGACATGGGTGGAGAACTCAGGATAACGGGGCAGCTAAGAAGGGGACGCGCGGGGAACCCCTCCCCACACCCCTGGTCCGCTCTCAGGTCCGTGAGACCCGCACCGGACCCCGTCCCCGACCCCCGCACGGCTGGGGTGGAGAAAGTTTTGGGCACAGGGAGCGTGGGACTGCGCAGGACTGCGCAGGCGGGGTGCGGGGCGCGCGGAGGTCCCCCCAACTACCAAGCTGGGTGGAGCGGCGCGGGAAGGAGTGGGGCCTGCGCCGGGTCATCGCTTGTCCGGCCCCTCCCTGCCCGAAATGCAGAGGGATTGGAGGGAAGGGGCCGGGGAAATAAATACCTTTGACTTTGTAGCTAAGGTTAACGGGAACGGCCTCCCCGGGGGCGACTCGGGCACCCGGATCCCAGCCCTGGCCAGTCCCGGGGCAGGCGGGGCGGGCACGCGCTCCTGATTGGATGGTAGGCCTGGCTGTCCGCTGGGCCGCCAGGCCACGCGATTGGCTGAACAGCTCAGATCACCCGCCCGGCCCTATCGGAGCAGCCCGCGGGGCGGCCCCTTTGTTCTCCCGAGCCAATAGCCGGGGGCGGGGGGCTGACCCCGGCCGGCGGGCGCTCAGCCAGGCTGGGGAGTGCCTGTGCTGCTGCTGGCTGCAGGTGCCCGCCTGACCTTGCGCGCCCGTTTCGCGCACAGGCGCTTGTTAGGGTCTGAAGTCGCAGCGCATGAGCCCAGGCAGTTATTATGGTGCTGGGAAGCCACAGACTCTGAGGCTTCTTCCGAGTGCACCTGCTCTGGCCGTGTGCAGCTGGGTGCACGCACCTCGCGTGCGCACCTTGCGGGAGGCGCGCTGCCGCCTGTGTGCGCGTGCGGCGAGCTGGCCCCAAGCCCGGCGGCGCGTCGCAGAGCGGGGTGATAAAGGGGCTGACTAGGGCCAGGGCCGCAGAGAACGCGTCCCACCCTGCCCTGATCAGATTTCGCAGCTCACCAGGACTCAGATGGGTGAAATCTTTTCCCGGCTGCCAAGCAGACCTTACTTTTCTCCAGCGCAAGTGTTGGGTTCCCAGAGACCTCCAGGAAAGAGTGCTTTCTCACCGACCCGGCCCTAGGGGAAGGTCCTCGCATTTCGACCTCGAAGGGGACAGTGGCTCGCCTCCGGCCGACAGGATTCTCGAGCAAACAAGCCGGGCCTCTCCAGCTCCCCGCACGGCCCCCGGTGCACCTGTTGCCAACCGGGCAGCAGCCGGTGAGCAGCGCCTCGGGCCTGGCTGCTCTTGCGCCTCAGAAGCCAGGTGGAAACGGACAAATTGTCTATTTTGCCATTGTGTAGTTTTCACATACTTTTCTTTCTCTGGACTTTGGCTTATTCATTTTTTAGTTTTCTAGTTGCCTCTATGCCTTACTGAATTCTCGTACATTTGGCTTTAAGCTATAGAAGCACGTGGAAGGTGCTACATAAAGCCCTGCGCGGAGCCCACACGTCTCTGGCCATCAACCCCTGAAGTCTCATCCCATGAATACTTTCTAGGGTACTTGCAAGGGGCGCCACGAAGGTGAGTGGGATTCACTCCTCAGAAACCAGTGTTGCAGTGCCACCAGCAATGCTGTGACCCTGGGAAGTCGCTTCCACCAGGCTTGTTCCTCCTCTAGAGTGAAGACGTCCTCCAGGTTGACATTCCACAACCGAGGGCCTTTCAGGAGTGGAGAAAATGCAACACATCTGGAGTCCTATTCCCATTACCAACAATGGGGGCAGCCACACGTGTGCCAATCACAGGAAGACATGTCTAGAACACTCCTCAGACTCTCCTGACAGGGTAGGGGGAAAGGACTTCACATTAAAATATGTATTTGAGTGGGCCTGCATTATTTGAAGTTTTAAGGGGTACTTAACACTCTTGTAGAAAGAGAAAAACCAGTTGTAGAAGAGAAGGGCAAATCCTAATGGCAGAACTCTGACCCCTTTCCCAAAGTCCTTCCCCTCAACCAGTTAGCTGGGATGAACCAGGCTGAGCAAGCACTTGGGACAGGCAGTGCTGTCCCCATACCCGGGACACCACTTTCCTTTAAAATGGTTTAAGGCCACAACCTCTGGTTAAATCCCCTCGCCCTGTATCCTGGCCGCAACCTCCCAGCACTTAACACCCAAGGACCGGTCCCCTCCTCCCCACCCATCACTGCAGACATCCACCTCCTCTTTCCTGCTCATCTCCCCTTCACTGGAAGCCATGTGTTCCCTCAAAGAGAACAGATGTGAGTGGGGCTTGAGACCAGGCCCTCTCCCCTGGGGCTCTTGACAGATAATTCTTCAACTACACAGGCTTCTAAGTGGCTCCTCAACACCATAAACCAATACAAAGCTTTGAAGCTGCTGGCTTCCTCCCTACACACTGAGCCCTAAACTCTCCGGACCCAGGCCCCGGTGGGGCAGGAATAGGACTTACCTTTAAAACCCCTCACTTTCCCACTACAACATCGGTCACACAGCCGGAATTTAGTACTTATTTCAACCAAAAGCAGCAGCACACTCAGTTTACCCAAAAAGCACATGGTGGAGGTGAAGGGTTCAGGAACCAGACAGACCTGATTCTGAACCCACCTGTTTTGATTACCAGTTACATGACCACGAGCAAATGTCATCAGGCATAAAAGGACAGCAAGAGCACCTACCGCTCGAGGATCTCAAGAGGTGACGTAAGGGACCCTCTCTGCCAGATGCGGCCCACATAAACAAATGGTGGTTATTCTGAAGCACCGGCCTGCGCTGGGTGCCAGGGATCAGTGCAGACGTTACAGACACAGGCACCATAACAACAAAAAAACCCACCTGTGATACCTGACAGAAACAGGCAAATTTGCACAAAACCCCCAGTGCAGGGACCTACAAAGTGAGGGATCAGCAGCAAGCGGCCAGGGAGGTCCTGCCGGAGAGTAACATCAGCCCTCTGTCCTCCTGGGAGCTGACACCCGACTCCTGGCGGTGGGGTCCAAGCTGTGTGGGGTGTGTAAGCTGTCTGCTCCCGCTGCTGCGCTGAACTGCCTCTCCTCCAACTTCTTCTTTATGCTGCCAGTACTCTGGCAGGGGCTGAAGCTCTAACAGAGTGTGTAAAACCCAGGGGACCAGCCCTCCAGGAAAAGGAACAGTCCCCAGCCAACCAGTTCTAAAACCAAATCTTTATTCTCTAACTTGAAAAGGAAGGTAAACAGCTGTTCTGTTTAGATCCAGAAGACACAACAAGGCCCAACAGGTAGAAATTATAGGAAAGCAGATTTCAATCATGAGGTGGAATTTCTAACCATTAGAATCATCCTACGATAGACCCAGGGCCTCGGGAGGTGGGCGCTCTCATGGCCTCAGTGCTCAGGCAGCGGCTGCCATCCACACGCTGGAAACGCTGCACAGGAAACGCCCTAGGACCTTCCCTTGGGCTGCACCAAAAGGCCAGTTCCTCCCGTAACACAGTGAGCTCTAGATGAACAAGAGGATCATCAGATCAGGCAAAACAGGCAGGAAAGCCCTCAGCACCAGCAGGGGCAGGGGACAGAGCCAGACCGGGTCTTCTGGGAGGAAGAGGGTGGACTTGCTAACAGCAGATGGACCTCTCCAAGTGCGGGATTCTAATGCAAGGGCAGCGGGGAGGGGGACAGGTAAGAGCAGCTTGGCCTCACCTAAGTGCTGAAAAAAAGCCCTGTGCTGCCTAAGGAGGCCAGCAGGTTCCCCGAAGTGTGCGCAGCTGGTCCATTTTCCCTCCCCTTTGTGAGTGCTCACTTACTCAGGACTGTTCCACACCTACTTCCAAAGTGACCTGAAGTAACTCAGTAGAGACTGGGACATTAAGGCGTTAACACCAGAGGATGGAGCAGCTTCCCTCCCACTGGTGGCTCCTCTAGCCAGGGCTTTAAGGGTAGATGGAGCTGCTATTGCTACGTTTTCAGAGCACAGGACAGTCAGGATGGAACCTTAGGAACGCCAGCTGGACGCCGGGTCCTTTGGCTCTGACAGGGGTTCCCTGCCCACCGGACTGGCTCCAGCAGGGCCGGCTCACCCGCCTCTTCTATCCCTTCTGGGATTCCCACTGTCCCCTCCACCAGCACCCAGGCAAGCACCTCGGGCCAGTGCCTCGCTCCTGTGGTGCAGGTAGCCCAGGGCCCCTCTCAGACATCGTGCCTCCTCTGGTGGGTCAGGAGCCGCTCCTCGTCGTCAAAGGTCTGGCCGCAGATGGCGCAGCAGAAGGCGCCGTCCCGGATGTGGCTCTTGCGGTGGGTGATGAGGTTGGACTTCTGACTGAAGCTGCGGTCACAGTCGGGGCAGGCGTAGGGCCGCTCGCCGGTGTGGATGCGCCGGTGGGACACCAGGTTCGACTTCTGGCTGAATGCTTTGCCGCACTCGGGACAGACATAGGGCTTCTCGCCGGTGTGGATGCGCCGGTGCGCGGCCAGGTAGGGCTTGTGCCGGAAGGCCTTGCCACAGTCCGGGCAGACGAAGGGCCGCTCGGGGGCGTGGTCGCGCCGGTGGGCCGCCAGGTGGCTGCCCTGGGAGAAGCGGCGGCCGCATTCCTCGCAGGCGAAGGGCCGCTCGCCCGAGTGCACGCGCGAGTGCGCCACCAGGTGCGTCTTCTTGCCGAAGTTCTTCCCGCACTCGGCGCAGGTGAAGGGCCGCTCGCCGCTGTGCTGCCGCTGGTGCGCGCGCAGGAAGCGCTCGAGGCGGAAGCTGCGCCCGCAGTCGTCGCAGCTGTACAGGGACGCGGGCGCCTCCGCCGGGTCCCGCGGCAGCTCCACGGGGGCTGCGGGCATGGGCTCGGCTGCAGCCTCCGGGGCTGGCTTTTGGGGACACGGCTCCGCTGAGGACTCGGGGGCCGCGGCTGGAAGCTGGGGGCTCCCGGCACCGTGGGCAGCCTGTGTGCAGCCCTCCGACCGCTTGTGGATCTTACTGTGCGACAGCAGGTTGGGTTTGTGCCGGAAGCGGCGACCGCACTCAGTGCACGGATAGGGCTTCTCACCAGTGTGGATGCGCCGGTGCGAGGTCAGGTAGGGCTTGTTGGTGAAGCGCTTCCCGCACTCGGGGCACTGGTGCGGCCGCTCGCCTGTGTGCACGCGGCGGTGGGCGATCAGGTTGGGCTTGTGGCGGAAGCGCTTGCCGCAGCAGGCACACTGGAAGGGCCGGTCCACCGCGTCTCCGCCCGGCCTGGGAGCTGTCACCGCCGGGCGCCCTCGGGGCCGCGGGCCCAGAGCCTTGGCTGCTGCCTCCTCCAGCGCCTCGGCCACATGCACCCGCTTGTGAGCAACCAGCTGGTCCCACTGGGCAAAGCTCCTGCCACAGTTGCCGCAGATGAAGGGCCGGGCCTCGGGGGCAGGAGGGTGGCGCCTCCGCAGGTGAGCTCGGAGCTGCTTTTGTCGCCAGAAGCGTCTCTCACATTCCGGGCAGGCAATGGGCCGCTTTGCCACCGAGTGCGCCCGCAGATGCAGAACCAGGGCCACCCAGCCCCGGAAGCTCCGCCCACAGAGGTGGCAGGTGAAGCCCAGGTCCGAGGCGGCAGCAGCATGAACCTGGCGGTGCAGCGCTAAGAATGGGGCATGGCGGAAGCGTCGCCCGCACTCAGGACAGGGCAGGGGCAGCCGGGCCTGGCACTGTCGGGTGTGGAGCCATAGGGCCACCCAGCTCGGGAAGCGCCTTCGACAGTGGGCACAGCGATGAGTCTTGCCAGGAGCTTGGCCACCTGGCTGGACCACTAGAGTGCCCCGGTGCCTCAGCCTGCTGGACTCCTTCTCCAGGGTCTGGGCAGACTCCTGGGACCGCCCAGAAAGGAGTCGAGGCGGGGCTGGGCCCATGGCCACAGAGCCCCTGCAGCGTCGTTCCAGCATGGGTTCTTCCTCTGCCGGGGTGGAAAAACAGAGTCACTCCGGGGACAGACACATCTGCCCCGCTCCCCTTCCTGCTGCAGCACCCTGAGAGCGGCTTAGCCTCCACGAACTCCCAGAGCCTTTGTCCCTAATCTACACTATCCCACTTCCCTGTGTGTTAAATATTATTTCAATCTCTAGATAACACTTCAAAAAGGTGTCTGATGTCTGCATTGCTCTGAAAATGCAGAGAGGAGACTTTGACACCTGTAATCCTGCGCATGGCAGTCACCCAGTGTCGGCTGCACTAACATCCTGGCCACGGAGCTCACCAGCAAACGTGCTCTCACATCTCCCTACAGCGCCCCGGGCTTGTGCAAGGCCTCTCCATTTCCCTGTGTGTGCCTGCGTGTGCCTGTTGCCACACCTCAGTGCACAGCAGCTTGGTGAGGCTGGCGGAGGAGACACTGAGCTCCCTGCTCCACAGATGAAGCAAGCAGGGGGCGTCAAAGGCAACAGGACTTGCCTGAGGTGACACAGTAAACCAAGAACAGAACCAAGACCGGGACACAGGTCTTTTAAGCCCCCAGGCCAGTGTGCTTTCCTCTAACACCTGGGTTTGCACAGACCTAGCAAAAGAAACTGCCAACCTCCTTCACTCCTGCCACCCCACAGGGCAGGCACTTTCAGCCTCACTGCCTCAGCCTCAGGGTCACAGCCTCGAGTGTGAAGGAGAACAGCCTCTCTCTGGGAGGTGTGGGGAGCTCAGCACCCCTCCCAGCACTGCCTACAGCCAGGCCACTGCCTGTCCAGACTGCCCACATTCTGCCTGCCTGCCCTCCTCCACCCACACGAGATTAGGTGATGGCACAAGGAAGCTGTCTTGAATCCAAGGAACACCCACTGCCTGCTGCCCTGGGGGCCCCAATCCTTGGCTCTGCCTCTTTTGAGGTGCTGTGGATTCCTGGGGCAAGTGAAGGGGCAGAGAAAATGAGGGTGGAATCTCTGTCCCCTGCCTGATCCTGCCCCAACCTGGCCAGGGGCTGCCCCTCTTTCACGTCCTCCACAGAATGAAGGCTAGAGGAGCCGTTAGCTCCTGCGGGACCTCCTGTGCCTGCTCACAGGCTCCAAGCAGACACATCCTCCGTATGCCCTACAGCCCACTCTCCTGGGGGAATACTGACATGACTCATCCCCGGGGACTGCGCGCTGGAAAGATCCCCGAGACATGGAAAGGGATCCTTACACACACACACACACACATGCGCCAGGATCGAAGTGTAGGGGTTCGCTGGGCTATGGGTGGTTTGGGAACACAACGAAGTCAGACTCTACCCTGGAGACTGCAGAGCTGGGGATGAGGCTTTCTCCAGCTCCTCCTGGGGATGTTCCTGAGGATACTTCTGCGGCTGCAGCGCCTGCTTCGACCCACACTCCGGTAGCCTCCGGATGTTAGAGAAAACTGCAGTAATAAAGACACCCCTACCCCCATGGCACAGCTCAGACCTCTGAACCCAGAGAGGCCAGCCTTACCTGCGGGGAGGGGGAGAGAAAACACGTGTGAGGCTCTGCGCACCCCGAGGGCGGTCATCTTTGTGTCCTCACCAGCCCAACCTTCCCCCGATGAGGCCACGAGCTCCGGCCTTTAAGCCTGGCAGAGTGACCTTAATGGAGACTGGCTTCATAAATAAACGTGGCCCTTCGTGAAGGAATCACACTGCTGCCCTTGGGAGTCACCTTCCTCGGTGAGGTCAGCGCGAATTCTCCATTTCGCGGCCAGGGTCCTTTCCCAGCGGCCGGCCTAGGGCACTAACTCCGGGATCCCTGCTGGCTCCCCTTCCCCCACTCTGCTCCCAACACGAATTCCAGGCCTGTTTCCCAGGGGGCTGCGCAGGGCACGCCCGCGTGACCCGGGCTCGGCCAGATCTCCCTTCGACATCTTGGACGGCCGAGGGTGGCAGGCGGCCCACACCCCCCTTTTGTACTGGTGCGTGTCCTCCGTCCGCGTCCGCGAGCTCGCGGGTCCCGCTCCTGCGAGGAGCCATTCGGGGTCCCACGCACGGCGCAGCCCGCGGAGCCTGTGCGAGGTGCACGCCCCCCGCC